AAAAAAAAAAAAAAAAAAAAAAAAAAAAAAAAAAAAAAAAAAAAAAAAAAAAAACACGACATTAAAATAACCTCCACCAACTCTAGGCTGTTAACCCCAGCTCTCTAGAACAGGGGTGGCATCCACGTAGTTCCTCTCTAACCATCCCTGCCCCTTGCTACCTCCTTCCATGGGGCTTCTATCCACTGAACTGAAAGTAAACTTCAGAATCCTTCTCAACACCCTAGCAAGCCATGGCCAATCTACTAAAAATGATAGCAAGCTCAAGGCCACTTAACATCTGCTCTAAAACCAACACCAGCATTAATGTCATTGGGAAAAGATAGAAAAAAATGGACATTCTCATACTTGACACCCAGACCCAAGATGAAAGGGCCGCAGAGGCCTGGGGAATGATGACGATGAGATGCTCAATCTAGACAGTGTGTACAACGGAGCAGGAGCAACACAAGTTAGTCGGTCACTGCTTTAGAGCTGGCTGCAACAGACCCTTCAGCAAGCTCTTCCTCCTGAGAGCTACAGGCTCTGAGGGAGACCTCAGATGTCCAATTAGATGCTAACCCATTGCTATTTCTAATGTCGGGTGCTCCTCAAGTCTTGGATGTTTTTACCAGTACTGATGATATCCAACCTTGTAACACAACAGGTACTCCCTGAGAAATAATTTCACACATATTTAGGGGCATCAAACCTATTTATCAAATTTTCCATTTGATACCATCCAACTTCTTACTCTGAAAGATCAGCTGACACATTGTTTTCAATTCTGCCCCACCTTCTGTCCCTCCTTCCTTCTGCTAACTTCACACATCCACACTGAGTATCTCCTACTGTAGAAACCACACCATGCTTGGGTCAGGGACATGTAGGCACATGTCCCTGTAGGCACATGTAGGCCACATGTAGGCACCACATGTGAACATAATAATGCCCCTGCCCTCAAGAGCTGAAAGGAGCAAAGGTGCTGCTTAGGCTCACATGCTCAGGGGACAGTGTGTGATATTTGGACTCTCCTGAGTTCCAGTGTGGCTATGAGCCTCAGAGCCTGTATCAGCAGGTGGCCTGGTACCTGCTGAGTATTCTCTGAGAGCAGCAGAGACAGGCATATGAACACCACAACGAGCAGTCCTTCCTTCTCCTGTGCTCCACTTAGAGAGAGAGGGGAAGCACATACAATCGGCTGGCAGAACTGACTTGATCCAAAACAGACCATTTCGCTGGCAAGCTCTGAGGATAAGCAACGCTGAGAAGCACCTAGAATACACACAATTGATTTTTGCCACATACTCCTCAAGGAGGCAGAGTGCTGAAGGGCAGTGTCATTTTTAGCAGAGCGACAGCTGGCAGGGTGAGGTCTCTAAGAGGATTAGGAAAGGCAGTGGGGAGATTGCACTCTCCCACAGTGAAGAAAAGTCCCACCATGTCAGGGGTAAGCCAGAGAGCAATTGCAATCTGGGTTGTTTGGGGCTACTGACTGAACAGTCCTCAGTAGGCCCTGAGGGCATGGACAAGAGCACTCTATAAGGCCTGCAATAGTTTTTTTTGTTTGTTTGTTTTAGAATTTCATACATGAGTCGTGTATTTACATCATTTCTACCCCTTCCTCCTTTCCCTCTAACTTCTCTGAAGCCCCCCAACTCCCTCTCAGCCTCATGACTTTTAATGTCTATTGTCTTATACACACACATATGTACATATAAATACATGAGTCCATTGAGTGTTGCTCCTATGTCTATGTGTTTAGGGCTGACTACTTGGGACTGGATAATCTGTCAGGGGGAAGACGGATTCTCCCTCTCTCAGCAGCCGTTAATTTCATGTAGCTTTCATCTAGGGTGGGATATTGTGCAATCTCCCCCAACCATATGCAAGACAACTGGTGTGCTGGTCTTGCTTAAGCAACCATAGTCCACAACACTAGCTCAGAGCAGACTCTCCGGCCCTCTGGATCCTACGAGCTTTCTGCTCCCTCTTCTACTACAGTCCCTAAGTCTTAAGTGTCAAGGTTTCATAAAGGTTCTAACATGTTTAAGATTAAAACTCTCTAAAAACAGGCATATGTTCAGAGAGGTTATATCCCAGTCCAGGGAAGACTGATAGAATGGCACATAATAAATCCATGAGGGACTTACGATGACACATGTATCGTCACATGGACAAAACACTTAATCCTCTTTGACATACTTCACACGACTGGGAGACACTGAGAAGCAAGGGTAGCCTTTGCCTCAAAGCACCTGATTCTGATGAAGGAACCAGATAATCACATCCACCACATGGTGAGCACCCTTCAGGGACACAAGTGCTATATGGCCCACTGGATGGACACCAGACAAAGCCAGGAGGCTCCTCTTTTTGTTTTGTTTGAGACAGGCTAGGCTGTATGAAACCTAGGCTGGCTTGAATTTATGATCCTCCTGCCACAGCCTCCTGGGTATGCACCATATCAGTGGAGTTTTTAATAAAATA